ACATAACACTACAACGTGCTACATGACACTACAACGTGCTACATAACACTACAACGTGCTACATAACACTACAACGTGCTACATAACACTACAACGTGCTACATAACACTACAACGTGCTACATGACACTACAACGTGCTACATAACACTACAACCTGCTACATAAGACTACAACGTGCTACATAACACTACAACGTGCTACATGACACTACAACGTGCTACATAACACTACAACGTGCTACATAACACTACAACGTGCTACATAACACTACAACGTGCTACATAACACTACAACACACTACATAACACCACAACGTGCTACATAACACTACAACCTGCTACATAACACTACAACGTGCTACACAACACTACAACCTGCTACATAACACTACAACGTGCTACATAACACTACAACCTGCTACATAAGACTACAACGTGCTACATAACACTACAACGTGCTACATGACACTACAACGTGCTACATAACACTGCAACGTGCTACATAACACTACAACGTGCTACATAACACTACAACGTGCTACATAACACTACAACGTGCTACATGACCCTACAACGTGCTACATAACACTACAACCTGCTACATAAGACTACAACGTGCTACATAACACTACAACGTGCTACATGACACTACAACGTGCTACATAACACTACAACGTGCTACATAACACTACAACGTGCTACATAACACTACAACGTGCTACATAACACTACAACGTGCTACATGACACTACAACGTGCTACATGACACTACAACGTGCTACATACTACAACGTGCTACATAGCACTACAACGTGCTACATAACACTACAGGTCAGGGGCTACACCTCACTACGTCTGGCTCGTTACTCAGGTAACAGAAATCATCAGTAAACAATTTGATGGTATACTGTACATAGTTATTAATTTGTATAGTGGGTAGGAGTGGCCCTGATAGTGAGAGGCCCTTAACGTTGCCCTAAGAGAGTGGCTCTTAAGGTGGCCCTGAGAGTGTGTCCCTTAAGAAGAACGTGCGTAGCCCTGTATAGTTCCCTAACTCACTCACCCTAGTGTACATCTTTTAATTTAGCTCACCTTGGTCCTCAAGTAGGCCCATAGCTCTTTAGCTCTCCCTGGTTTTGATCTCACTCGTCTCACCTTGGCCCAGGGCTCGCCCTGACCCTGGCTTCACCCTGGCCCTGGGCCTACCCTGGCCCTGGGCTCACCCTGGCCCTGGGCTCACTCTGGCCCTGGGCTCACTCTGGCCCTGGGCTCAAGCGTCTCCTGGGTAATGCAGTTTTCCGAACAGTTTCTCTGGGCTGCCCCTGAGGCCTGTAGCCACACAAACATTATGACCGGAATTTGAGAGCAGATTCTGCCCAGTTTATATTGTGGCGTGGGAATCCGGGGCGTGGGGCGTGGAGAATGGGGCGTGGGCTTAGACGCTACCATACATTTGCCTATTTAGGTTTGCAATTCCATGGTTGAAGTCAGTTAATTTACACTTGTCAGAAATAATGGAGGTGGTGCCGCCCGATAAGTGCAACACTCTTGGGAGATGCTCATTGTATGGATGAATATTGTGAATATTCATGACGGCTGGATTGTTCCACTTGGTTGTGTTTACCTGATGCCAACTGGATTGTTTCACGGGGTTGTCAAATATGACATGGTATCGCTTACACACTTATATTACGTGATGAACAATAAATTTCATCTTCACTAGAAACAAACAGCAAGCCTACGAAATATTTTACTTATACTAACCAAACCAAGGATTTTGTTTTTCATGGCTGCTTATACGAACATTGAGTTTTCGACTCAGTCAGGAAATCTTGTGCTAACTCACTGGCAACTGACAGTATAAGTAAGAACAAAGGGTCTTTGCCTACAGTTTTGGACGTTTGAGAGATGTACGAAGCTGTCAGATGTCAAGTGTTAGTCTAGTATTGTTGACGATGCTGCACCCACGACACAACTCCTCTTGCTTGCAATCTAACCAAACTTTTGACAGTTTTATACAAGCCTTAACACCACTTCAGTCAATTTGACCTGCTTGTTGAATTGTTAGTGTTTTCAGAAGTCAAAGGGAAAGCAAAACAGGTACTAAGAAATTATTATTATTATTATTTAGGTCTCAGTGAAATGTTCGCTACACAGAAAGTCGTATTCTATTCAATCATAATTTTCCTCCCGACTGCAGAAATGCTTCAGCTTGATCTTGCCGAGTGCTCGAGGAAGCCACAGAATGTTAGGTTTTCATTATTAACTTGCCTAGTAATAGTACACGCAACAAACAATAATCATCTTTCAGGCTTATAAAGATGAGAGAAATTTCACATATATGGTGCTTCACGTCCATTATGGCCGACAAGTAACTGTTGACGTCACGTGCATAACTTCAATTTCTGACCTCTTGCATCATTGATTTCTTGAGCCATGTACAAAGGTATGGCAAGCATAGTGGGCCCTGGAGAACAGCAACAGCAGACAGTTGTGCACGGTCAGTAGGACTCTCCTCTTTCAACAGTTGTTTATCCAGTCCTGCAGGAAGGGCACTGAGGGCCCTTGAAGCAGGTCCTGGAGGTGGGGCTGAGGATCCCTACAACGTTCTCTGCCACACGGCAGGATATCTGACGAGCCTCTTCATACAACACCTAAGCTCCTCCACTACCCTGGCCCCTCACTACTACTATTCTCTTCTAACTCTCCTCCTCCTATTCCCTTCTCTTTCCTCATCTTCCTCCTTCTTCTGTCAGTAATGTGTACTCAAGTCTGCACTATAGTGTTCAGATATAGGTGGACACAAATGTACAGACTAGAGTACATATTACTGACTTCCTCCCCCTCCCCACAACCTTCACCCTCACCCACACAACCTTCACCCTCACCCACACAACCTTCACTACCACATCACCCCACACAACCTTCACCCTCACCCACACAACCTTCACCCTCACCCACACAACCTTCACCCTCACCCACACTACCTTCACCCTTACCCACCTACTACCTTCACCCTCCCCTCACCACTACCTTCACCCTCACCCACACTACCTTCACCCTCACCCACACTACCTTCACCCTCACCCACACTACCTTCACCCTCACCCACACTACCTTCACCCTCACCCACACTACCTTCACCCTCACCCACACTACCTTCACCCTCACCCACACTACCTTCACCCTTACCCACACTACCTTCACCCTCACCCACACTACCTTCACCCTCACCCACACTACCTTCACCCTCACCCACACTACCTTCACCCTCACCCATACTACCTTCACCCTCACCCACACTACCTTCACCCTCACCCACACTACCTTCACCCTCACCCACACTACCTTTTCTCTCTCTCTCTCATTACTTCTCAGTGTTATATACTACTCTTCAGTTTATTATATTGATGAGAAACGCTAAACCTGTGTGGGTCATTAATTGTAAACAACACTGTTAGCTTAACCCACAGCCAGTGTGGGTCTCACACACACACACACACACACACACACACACACACACACACACACACACACACACACACACACACACACACACACACATGAAAAATAAATGTGAAGGACCTGGGAGTGATGATGTCAGAGGATCTCGCCTTAAAAGACCACAACAATGTATCTACCTCATATGCTAGGAAAATGATAGGATGCATAATGAGAACCTTCAAAACTAGGGACGCCAAACCCATGATGATCCTCTTCAAATCGTTTATTCTCTCTAGGTTGGAATATTGCTGCACACTAACGGCCCTCTTCAAGGTTGGAGACATTGCAGACCTGGAGAGCGTACAAAGAACTTTCACGACACACATAAGTGCGATAAGGCACCTAAATTACTGGGAGCGGTTGAAGGTCCTTGATCTGTATTCCCTGGAGCGCAGGCGCGAGAGACACATGATAATATTCACTTGGAAGGCCCTGGAGGGATTGGTACCAAACCTGCACACGAAAATCACTCCCTATGAAAGCAAAAGACTCGGCAGGAGATTCAACATTCCCCCGATGAAAAGCAGGGGCGCCACGAGCACACCGAGAGACACAGTAAGTGTCCGGGGCCCAAGACTGCTCAGCTGTCTCCCAGCATACATAAGTGGGATTACCAATAGACCCCTGGCTGTCTTCAAGAAAGCATTGAACGGGCACCTAAAGTCAGTACCTGACCAACCGGGCTGTGGTTCGTACGTCAGTTTGCATACGGCCAGCAGTGACAGCCTGGTTGATCAGACCCTGATCCACCATGAGGCCTATTCTCAGACCGAGCCGCGGGGGCGTTGACTCCCGAAACCCTCTCCAATATTCATCAACGCTCACCAACACTCACCACCATTCACCATCATTCACTAACACTCACCAGCGGAAATAAATGGTATAAAATACCGACACAATGGAAATATAAACACATATGCAATAAAATGTGATCATTTATTGACAACGTTTCGCCCACACAATGGGCTTGATCAAGTCACCAACAGATCTGTAGATGAATGGTTCAGAGAACCGACATGTTGAACCATTTATCTACAATCCTGTCAGACACAGCAACTTCTTGGGATCTTAATACTTGGTAATTCTTCGCTTGCATAACCCTTGGGCACGACCTTGGGCACGACCTACTTCCACATTGCACAAATGTGACACCACCTACGACTGCTGCACCTCTCCTGCCTACGGTATATAAGCTACTTCTCGGCACATATGCTGTATTCTATTCAAGATTGATGGACTCACCACATCGACTCAAGGTTGAGGGACTGATTACCTCTTTCTCCTCCTGTTCTTCACGTTTCTCCTTTGTATGGACTGATGAAGCCACTGTGTGGCGAAACGTTTCCTCAAAGATACCCAAGAGTTGCACATGTGTCTAATTTATCACCAACAGATCTACCTGGGTGAAACATACGTGAGTATTTAAAGGATGAGAATGCTGAGTCAGGTGAAGAAAGGTGCATGTGACAATCTTCACAGTAGACTGATAGTCTAAAAACTGTGAAGATTGTCACATGCAGCTTTCTTCACCTGACTCAACATTCTCATCCTTTAAATACTCACGTATGTTTCACCCAGGTAGATCTGCTGGTGACTTGATCAAGCCCACTGTGTGGGCGAAACGTTGTCAATAAAGGATCACATTATACTGCTTAAGTGTTTATATTTCCAACACTCACCAACATTCACCAACACTTACCAACATTCACCAACACTCACCAACATTCACCAACACTCACCAACATTCACAGACTCAGGTATTATAAAAGGCATCTGAAGCTGACGCCACTAATTACTACCTCTATTTTTGTTTGTAAAGCCACGCCCTCTCTCTCTCTCTCTCTCTCTCTCTCTCTCTCTCTCTCTCTCTCTCTCTCTCTCTCTCTCTCTCTCTCTCTCTCTCTCATACACAGTGAACCAAGTAGCGGGTCCTGGAGCTGAGACTCAACCCCAACTATCACATATATGTCAGTATACAGGTTAGTACACACGGTCTACCTTTGTTATGTATTAACTTGTACACTGTAAATTATGATGCGGGTCCTGGAGCTGAGACTCAACCCTCACAGCCACACCCAAGGAAATACCCACCGTCTTAAGCGGTTTAAGTACTATTAGTTAAGACCAGGAGCTGGGGCTCAACTAATGTGAAGGACTTAGTCAAGAGAATGTTAGCTTCAAGGACCACAACAGTGTCTTTATCACAACTGAGAGGACAATGATACGATGGATAATGAGAACCTTCAAAACAAGGGATGGCAAGCTATAAGTCACTTATTTTCTTGTACTCCTTGGAGTGCAGGCGAGAAAGGTACATCATAATTTACACCTGGAAAATGCTATAGGGATTGGTCCCAAATCAGTACACAGAAATCTCTCCTTATGAAAGCAGATTCGGCAGATGGTACAACATAATATCCCCCCCAGTAATAAGCAGGGGCGCCGTGAATACACTGAGAGAAAACGCAGTGTCAGGGGCCCAGGGCTTTTCAGCAGCCTCTCAGTAGACTCCTGTCTGTCTTCTAGAGAAATGGACATGCATGAAGTGAGTGCCTGACTAGCCGGGCTGTGGGTTGTATTTTGGATTGCGCGTGACCAGCAGTAACAACCTAGTTGATCAGGCTCTGATCCACCGTGAAACCTGGTCATGGAACGGGCCGCGGGAGCATCGACCCCCGGAACTCACTCCCAGGTAAGAGGTCAGTAGAGCTACCAGAGTACTGACCGACCTCACACACCCACCTGTGTTGTGTGTAGTGATGGAGAGGAAAGGCTGGGCGGGGGAGGGGCTGGCATACTGGGAGGTGTGATGTTTGTGTCAAGACGGGAAGGGGAGGGACATACTAACACCCTGGTTTATCTAACAGTAAATAGATATCTCGGAGTTAGTTGACTTTTATGAGTGTCATCCTGGCCAGAGAACTTCAACACTACGCTAGAAATAAACCTTACAGCTTACCATTCTTAGCTTGTCTTGACTTATTAATAAAATATTTTTCTTCCATTACTCTTCTGGCCATCACTCTTCTGAAGGAGGGGTGTTAATGTTGCAGTTTAAAAACTGTAGTGTAAAGCACCCTTCTGGCAAGACAGTGATGGAGTGAATGATGGTGAAAGTTTTTCTTTTTCGGGCCACCCTGCCTTGGTGGGAATCGGCCAGTGTGATAATAATAATAATAATAATATATATATATATATATATATATATATATATATATATATATATATATATATATATATATATATATATATATATATATATATATATATGTATGGTACATATATGTATGGTACAAAGATGTCATATACAGTACATAAGGTTTGAGAGATACATTTCAAGTACATATTCCTGAGGTTTTCTCTCTTAGGCCCCTCTAGCCTGTACTCTTGTCTGCGGTCTTGTTTGACCTTCCCCAATCTTCATAACTTTGCACTTGGTGGGGGTTAAACTCCAGGAGTCAGTTGTTGCATTAGGCTTGCAGCCTGTCCAGATCCTTTTGTAGTCTTACGTGATCCTCGTCCGTTTGAATTCTCCTTATTAACTTCACAATGTCTGCAAACATGGACACCTCTGAATCTATCCCTCCTGTCATGTCATTCACATATACCAGAAACAGCACCGGCCCTAAGACTGACCCTTGTGGAACCCCGCTCGTCACCGGCGCCCACTCTGACACCTGGTCATATACCATTACTCGTTGTTTCCTTCCTGTCCCTCTGACCCATTGCAGTGCCTTTCCTCTTATTCCTGCCTGTTCCTCTAGCTTTTGCACTAATCTCTTAAGCAAAACTATGTCGAAAGCCTTCTTACAGTCCAAGAAAATGCAGTCTACCCACCCTCCTCTCTCCTGCCTTGCTTCTGTCACATTGTCCTAAAACTCCAGTAGGTTTGTGGCAAAGAATTTCCTCTCCCTGAAGCCGTGCTATTTATCAAGTGTAAGCTCATGCCATTCTATGCGCTCCACCAGTCTTTTTCTGATAAGCGTCTCCATATTA